GTAGGCGGGAGAGGGTGAGCGAGTGAGGAGGCAAAGGCGTCACAGTGATAACCGGAGACCCATACGCAGGATGTGTCGCATGTGGAGGATCACAGGAGCCCCACTTCAGGACATAGGGGAAATCGGACCTTCGGAAATCTTCCCAACTGTCGGGCGTCTCGGCATTTGGGAGACCTTGGCCCCCGACCTCTCGACCACTTTCCCGGGAGAGTTTTTGTTTTGTTATCTCGGGCCGTCTTCAGACGGCCCCGAGACCCGAGAAGGGCCCAGAGGGGCCGAAGAGGACGAGGAGCCGCAGCCTCGAGTTTTGTCCGAGACGCCGGATGCTCGGCGGTGGACACACCTCCCTTTAGTAGACCTCCCCTTAGTTTTTTTTTTGAGGGAGAAGAAGGGAGCGGTCACCGAACAATCCGCTGCCCCTCGTGGGGGCTATCACGCTCCAGACGTCCTATGCAGCTCCCGCGCAGAGTACATAAACGACATCAGAGGCAGTCAAAAACGGCCTGGGGCCGAAATCGGACCTGGACCCGCAAACATAACGGCCGCGACGCCCCCTCGCGAACCGAGAACGGCCAATCCCTCGTGGTTCGACGCGTCAGGGTAGGTGGTCTATTCACCTCCGAGAGATCTGGGAAGGCAGGGAGGACGGTCCCCACGGATCTGCCCAGATCCCCGCACGTCCATCGTCCCCAGGCGTCCAGGGCCACCAGAAGTCCCGACCCTGCCGCCAGAGCCGGCCTCTCCTCCTCCTCCTCCTCCTCCTCCTCCTCCTCCTCCTCCTCCTCCTACAGGGAGGTATGGAGGCGGCACCCACTACGAGGGAGGAGATGCTTGAGGAGTCGAGGAACACCACCTACCCCCTAGACTTTGCAGCCCTGAACGAGGCCATAGACGGCGCCAAGGACGACATGAAACGTGTGGCACGCAAGTTGTATCGTTCGGGGCTCCGTAGGGCACACCCCCTGGGCTCGGCCCCAGCAGAGGCGTGGCGCATGTTGCTCACTAGACCTCCTGAGGTCCAGGACAGAGCTGGCGTGGGCACGGAGAAGGGCAAGGTCTTTCCCAGGAATTTCAGAATCCAACTCGAACAAGCCTTCCGACAGATCCGTGTCCAAAAGAAGACCCCAGTTAGTTGGCACATCAGTGAGGCCACAGCTGTCAGAAAGAACGGGAAGCTCGGACCAAGGCAAGAGAGTCTACCACGTCCTGGACCCCTTAGGCAAATGCTACTACGCCGCCCAACTAGAGAGAGGAGCAGGACGACCTTGGAGGGATGAGGACTACGGCTTTGTGAAGGGACGGAGACGGGAGGGAGCAGTACTAGCCAGCTTGGTCACCCAGGACAGGCTCTCCAGGGCAGGGGCGTCCTACTCAGTAGTGATGAAGGACATGACGAACGCCTTTGCGAGTGGACACTGGACGGGAATGGATGCTGCTACACAGACACTGCTACCACAGGAGTTGTGGGAGGTCGGGGAGCAGAGGTACAGACAGTGTGCGTTCACAGTGCCATGCAGGGATCAGGAGGAGCCGACAATGATACGACCAGGATGTGGGGGCCTCATCGGAGATCCATTCATGGTTTACAATTTTGTTGCCCTGTTTGCCCCCCCCGTCGAGCAGTGGAAAATAGCATGTCTCGAGAACCTGCCAGAGGATCACCTGCTCATTGCACGCTGCCCGTTCTTCGAACAATCACAGTACTTAGGTCTCTTCAAATACGCGGATGATTTGCAGAAACTACTGGTCAGCACCTCGGATCAGGCTGCAGCGGACCTTTCCCAACAAGCCAGACTGGCTGATGACATGCTCGACGAGAGACTTCAGCAGTTCGGCCTGGCTCAGAACCGCGACAAACAAGAGAACCTTGTCAGACTGCAGGGTAGGGGCACGACGGCACAGTACAGACAGTTTCGCACGTAACAACATGCACTTCCAGGACGCACGGTGCAGTCGGCTAGATACTTAGGACCACACATCAACACTGTGCACACGTACGGAGCGGAGCTGCCACAACGTATTCATGCTATGATGAGGGCATACAGGGAGATGGGAGGGTTCTGGTACAAAGCGGGGGTACCGTTCAAGTGGAAACGGGCGGTCCTGATCTGTAAGGTAGTCAATACTGGGCTCAGCTGTATCGAGAGCTTCTTACCGACTAAGGCCGAGTATAGGACTCTTACGATGACGGTCGCGGGACTAGCTCGGAGGGCCATGCGTGGCAAAGCCACCACCTACCAGCCCGACGGTACGGTTCGGAGTCTCACGAGTTATGAAGTCTTACGACACTGGCGAATCCTGCCACTACAAATGGAAGCAATCGTCAGACGCCTCACTTGGATCAGAAAAATGTTACTCAACCCCGTGGCGCACCAGCAAGTACTTACAACCATTTTCGGACAACTTGCTATGGAGCCGGAGCCGACGGTCTGTGACGACGGCACGCTCCATCCACGGTGTAATGCCTGGGCGCAAAGAATAATTAAGGACCTTGAGGAGGCGTGCCGCACGGACATGTTTGTAAGTAACTTAAATGACTTGGACATCCGACCCAGAAATTTCTTCGAGCCAGACTTCCAGGAGGCCCTCAGAGTCCTCGACCCCAAGGAGCTCCGACAGGCGTTCAGGGCCCGTACCATCCCACCCCCAGGCCTCCCAAGCCCAGGAGCCAACGCAGCAGCAGCAGATGTAGCAGAGGAGGAGACGGTGCTAGCGGAAATTGCTCCATGGAAATGTGAGATAGTGGACCTGCCGCATACCACCTCCGAGTGTGGCGACACTGCGCCGACGACGGCGACTGCCGACTTGCAGGCGGGGCCAGTGGATCCAGCAGGGGGTGTTCAGGATGTGATGTCAGCCAACGACCCTCGACAGAACATGATTCTCCCTGTGTGTGGTGCATGCTTCAGTACACGTAAGGCGCTTATGTCACACATGCGTAACAAACACAAACTGAGCAACGTGGCGTCCCTACTCACACCTACTAACGAGTGTGTGAACTGTGGCATTGTGTTCGGAGAGCGTAGTACGGCGGCACGGCACTTGATGAGGGGGCTCCTTACAGGACGCTGCCCGTCGGACAGAACTCGGACGATGCGACCGATCGAGCCTTTCGCCCCGAAATGCCAACTGTGTGGATATGCAGATAACGACAAACAACGTCTCTACGAGCACCTCCGTAGCCATTTCCCCAGAGCAGTTCTTCAGCCAGCTGCTCCGACGGGCCCCTGCGCCCGCCCGACTGCGACCCAGGCCCGACCAGAGGGCTATGCCCGACGCGGCGCCAGCGGCTGGGGCAGCGGCGGCGGCCTCGACCAACGACTTCGAGATGGCACCAGCGTGGGCGGGCAAGCGTACGCTCCAGGTGGACAGGGACGCGACGCGTGCGGCCAAGGAGTCCAGGACCAAGGGCAAGGGCAGCGGCCGCGACAAGGACTACGAGCGCCTGGAGGAGATGGCGGTCATGACGGCCAAGCTCTCGCTCACCGTGGCCAAGGACGTGGAGGACATGAAGGCGGTGGTCTACGAGTGCTGGGAGCTCGACGCCGACAAGCCCATGGCGGCCATCTCGACGCAGGCGGGCAAGCAGTACAACGACGACGTGCAGAAACTGAAAGAGCAGCACGCGAGCGACTCCAATGTCGACCTCGCAGCGCTGGGCCCGCCGCACCTCGTCGTCATCGCGGCGGTGATCAAGAACATAGCAGAGGTGGTCCCGCCAGACGACAAGGCCATCCTAGGAGAGTTCTGGAAGAAGGTGGTGTGCCTGGAGGACCCAGAGATGCTGGGCACGTGCGGCAAACACTACCAGGCGAAGACGAACAAGCAGCCGAAGCAGAGCAAGGAGAAAGTGCGGCTGATCTTTTCCTTCGACTTGCACGTGCCCGACTTGCGGGCCGTACGGGAGGTCCTGATCAAGGAGATCAAGAGGGAGGGGGGCCAGCGCAAGCTGGGGGGAGCACCCAGGGGCCCGCTGCAGCGAGGCCTCACGAAGCTAGTCTACACGAAGAGCTGAGAGAAGAGGCACCGATCCTCGAGTTGGTGCCAGATGAGGAAGACACAGCGCCACGACGGTACATTAGACTAATGCCAGCAGTTTTGAGCCGAGAGACACTCTCGGCCCCTCCAGTTTTTAGAGACAGCGCCCGCTATAGGGATCTGGTGGCAGCAGGTAGACTGCCGCCAAGACGTGAGCCCAGCCAGCCTGCTCCTGTCCTCCGTTCCAACTTCGACTCGACCCTTCTCACTCCTCGCCCAGACCCACCACGTCCGCAGAAGGGCAAGGGCAGGGGGCGTAAAGGAAAATTATCGGAGCCTAGACTACACTCAGGCGGCACATCTGTCGGAAGCGAGGCAATCTAAATGTTTTGTCTACGCTGACTGCACGCGAACGCCTGGCGGGATATTTTGGCCAAGCCTCCGCTCGGAGGTAAACAGCAGAGCACTGTGTAGCAATTTCGACTCTCGAGTGCCCGCAGGCGGCCAGCCTGACCGAGTGCGGGTGTGGCCTGCCTGCAGGGCCAATGCGTATGTCTACGCTGACTGCACGCGAACGCCTGGCGGGATATTTTGGCCAAGCCTCCGCTCGGAGGTAAACAGCAGAGCACTGTGTAGCAATTTCGACTCTCGAGTGCCCGCAGGCGGCCAGCCTGACCGAGTGCGGGAGTGGCCTGCCTGCAGGGCCAATGCGTATTTTGTGACGCTTGCGCACCTGTGCGAGCGATGGGGTTTCCCAGATAGACCCAGATGTCAGACTGATATAGTACACTCTGCAAGGTAGTGTAGCTGCAAGGTCGTGACGACACGTTGGGTCCGATTCATCAGTCAGTCAGTCAGTCCTCCTCCTCCTCCTCCTCCCTCCTCCTCCTCCTCCTCCTCCTCCTCCCCTCCCCCTTCCCCTTCCCCCTCCTCCTCCCCCCCCTCCTCCCCCTCCTCCTCCTCCTCCTCCTCCTCCTCCTCCTCCTCCTGTTGATAGGGAGGCGCTGCGGGGGGCGGCAGGCTCCGGAACGGCCACCTCGGCCACCCCGCGGCGCTGGGCCATGAAGCCGCGGAAGGCCGCGGGCACCGCGTTGCGGCCCCGGCGCCGGCGACCCCTGTGGATAGGGAGCCCAGAAGGAGGAGGAGGAGGAGGAGGAGGAGGAGGAGGAGGAGGAGGAGGAGGAGGAGGAGGAGGAGGAGGAGGAGGAGGAGGTGGAGGCGGAAGTGGAGGAGACGAAAGGAGGCGGAGGAGGAAGAGGAGCCCCCGGCGACCCCCGGCGGCCCCGGCGCCGGCGACCCCTGTGGATAAAAGACGTACGCGCCCAACTATGTACGTGAACACGGCCCCTCGATCCGCGAGACCTGCCGCGCGATGCGAACCTTCGCGCCATGCGAACCCTCGAAACCAGCGTGGATTCATATACATGGTACGTCCTTCTTTCGCTCCTGACTGCCGAAGGCGGCGGCGCAAGCGGGGACTGGGCGCGAGGGGCGCGGGCCTCTGAAGAGAGAGCCCTGGGGGGCGGGAGCCGCCTGCCCGAGGCGGCCCAGCACGGGTTCTGGCCCGCGTGAAGGGCGGGCAGAGTCGAGGTTCTGGGTCTGGGGAAGGATTGGGCCCTTTTTCGGCCGCCGCGTGGGGCGTGTTCGGGCTCCCCGGACCATGAAAAACGGACCCGTGCAGAAGAACTAGACCAAGTGAACTCCAGGAGAGGTCTGGGGATTGATTTTGAGTTGGTTTCGTCTGGGGTCCCAACTTTATACCCCTGGTGAGAAGCATCCCCTGATGATAATAAAATTGAGGGTCCAGGCGGGAGAATCCACTTTTTCCGGGAGATAGCGATGTCAGGATTTCTGGATAGGCCTTCAGGATCGGTCGTCAGGAAGAGGAGGAAGAGGGGAAGGAAAAGGAGGAGGAGGAGGAGGGGGAGGAATGGTTCGGAACAAAAACAAAGTTCTGGACCGATCGAATGCAAACTGTAAAACTAAAAGATTCGTGGTGATTTTCAACTCGTCGTGTAGGAGTACTCATGGTCGCTGTTTGTCGCTTATAAAAGAACCAAATGTCAAAAAGTTTAGACCGGGGGCGGAGGGAGGAGGGAGGAACGGACGACAGAGGAGAGAAGAGAAGGCGGAGGAGAGGAGGAGAAAGAAGGACAGACAAGGAGAGGAGCGGGAACAGGACGAGCAGGAGGAGGAAACAACAAGACAATAATACGAATGAGAAGAGCAAAGGGAAGTTCGTGCCTTTAACAAAAAGCAGCGTTTCGCTGGAAACACCATGAAAAAAACACTGAATAACGAATTCAACACATCTTCGAAACTGTCCGTTTTGCATAATACATCCTCAAAACATGATCACGCTGATGTTTCATGGTGCTATGCATGAAATGAAGATCAGAGCTACAATAGGAACTCTGGTGGGGATAACAAAGTTCGGCCTCCCCGCCTGCTGTGGCATGTGAACCACATTCAATCCCGTGGATCAAGAGATACAAGAGGACAGGGCAGGGATGCTGTATTATCTGGGGGATTGGTTGTTCCGACCCCACAGCTGCCTCCAACCAGGAAGGGCTTCTCACCTGGCCCAGACCACCTCATGGATCGGGGCAAACAGCACGACGCAACATTTCTTGTTGCCGCTTTTGGCTCCAGCGGCCCCCTCAGGGGTTCAGGGGCGATCCAGATGTTGATCCTGGAAGCAAAACCGACCCCAGGGGATGGGTCTAGGCCTCTGGGGGGCCCACGTCTCTGCAAGACCACGAAATGGATGAAGCAAAAAACATAAACATAAACTTTCGACGGTCCGCACGGACTTCTGACCGGAGCGCGCCGGGGGCGGCGCCGGAGGCGCCGCCAGGGGAGCCCAGGCGCAGATCCAAGAAATCCGCGCGGAGCGCCAAAAGTTCATGCGTATGGAGCGTTTTTTCGTCTTCGAGAAAGCAGAGATCTGGGAAGGATCGGGGAGACGTAAGACTCGGGTACGGGGGACTCGGGTTGGCCCGACGGGGCCTACAACAAAAATGACGAGGCCCAATCTGAAATTTGACGCTGCAGACATCCCACGAAAACTGGACCGTCAAAACCCAGGACGCGCTCGTCAAAAAAAGCGTCGGCAAACCCGAGTTCCGGCTTACTCGGGTCTTGCGTTTCCCCGAAAGGCAGGGAGGACGGTCCCCACGGATCTGCCCAGATCCCCGCACGTGCATCGTCCCCAGGCGTCCAGGGCCACCAGAAGTCCCGACCCTGCCGCCAGAGCCGGCCTTTCCTCCTCCTCCTCCTCCTCCTCCTCCCCCTCCTCCTCCTCCTCCTCCTCTTCCCCCTCCTCCCCCTTCTTCCTCTCGAGGCACGTGTAGCGTGCCCCCTCGCCTGAATCAAAAGCTTTTAGCTGATAACGGGCATCGCTGTGCACTTATAGACTGCTCCGATGGTTCGTTTCTCTGTATCTGCTTGGACTGCCATCATTGCAGCACTGGTGGTAGCCAAGCGTTGCGACGGGCAGTCTGACGGAGCTGGGAACACTGCCTGGAAGTATGAATGCAGTGGCAGGCATCTCCAGCAGAATAAGAGGGAGAATAATGTCAAGTTCCTGCACTCGCCCTGGTCCTCTTGAGTGGGGTATGTAGCCGTAGAGGACCAACAAAAAACCCTCTGAGGGGTCCCGAGGCTTCTGAAGCAAGAGCGCCGCGTGGTGAGCAACCGCGATCGGAGCCACAAGCCGTGGTGCTGTCTCCGGCAAATCTTTCGACCCAGACAGCTGACATCTTCCACAAGGCCTGGGGCTGGCTTCGAAACCATGCCCCGTTAAACAACAGAGACGGAGGAGGAGAAGGAGGAGGAGGAGGAGGATGGGGGAGGAGGGGCGGAGGGGGAGGAGGAGGAGGGGGAGGAGGAAGAAGGATGAGGAGGAAGAGGAGAAGGAGGAGGAGGAGGAGGAAAGTAAGGAGTGTACGAAGGAAGAGGAAGAGGAGCAGGAGGAGGGAAGAGGAGGAGGAGGAGGAGGAGGAGGAGGAGGAGGGGGAGGAGGAGGAGGAGAAGTAGGAGCAGGAGCAGGAAGAGGCGAACCAGGGAAAGGGGGGAAGAAGGAGAGGGAGAGGGAGGAGGAAGGGGAGGAAGAGGAGGAGGAGGAGGAGGAGGAGGAGGAGGAAGAAGAAAGGCGGGCTCTGGCAAGAGGGTCGGGGCTTCTGGGGGCCCCTGGCGTCCAGGGACGATGAGCATCCCGGGGAGCTCGGCCGGTCCGAGGGGGGGCCCCAGCTGGGGCCCGAGCTCTGGCGGAGGGGCCCGGTGTGCAGAGACTGCGGCGCCGAGATGTTGTCCAAGGACGGCGCGTATCAGAACGCTCCGCAGGCCTCTGGCATCTCGAAAGTGCCACCAACCCTCTGGCATCTGGCATCTGGCACCTGCACGGCATCTGGCATCTGGCATCTGGCCATCTGGCCCTCTGGCCCTCTGGCATCTGGCATCTCGAAAACATCGGCTCGGAAGTCCCACCAGCCCTCTGGGCGTCGGTGGTTTGGGGCGTGTCCTCTTCCACCCCTCCCTCTTCCCCTTCGGGGAGGGGTTTACCCCTCCCCCTACCCCCTCCCCTGGACCTGGACGGGGGGCGCCGCGGGTAGTTAGAGCGTCCAGAACGGCCTCGGCGAGGAAGCCAAAATCGCTGATCTTACTAAAGTTTTGGCCCCATTTTGGCCTCCTGGGGGGGGACCTTAATTGAGGAACCCCCCTTCGTTGACCGATCTCCTCCAAGATGGCCCCAAGAAGCGCCCAGGAGGCCCCAAGAGGTCCCAAGATGGCCCCAAGATGATCCCACGAGGCCCCCAAGAGGCCCCCAGGAGGCCCCCAAGAAGACCCTAAGTGGCCCCAAGAGGCCCCCCCCGAGGCACCCAAGACCCCGAAGAGCCCCCCAGGATCGCCAAGAGACCCCCAAGACGTCCCAAGAGGCCACCAAGAATCGCCCAAGAGATACTCCAAGAGGCTCCAAGAGGCATCCAAGAGACCTCTGGCCCTTGTGCTTGCCCTCCTCCTCCTCCTCCTCCTGTTCCTCCTTCCTGCTCCTACTCCTTCTCTTCCTCCTCCTCCTCCTCCTCCTCCTCCTCCGCCTCCTCCTCCTCATATTCATCCTCCTTCTTCCCACCCCCTCATCCATCCATACATCCACCTCATCCTTGTCCTCCTCACTCCTCTGCACGGCCCGGCCGTCCTCCTCTTTGCTGCCGCACTTCCCTGATCACCTTAACTCGCCTGGACGTCGTTTCTGGATGGGCTGTTGGGGATCCGCGAAGCGTCAAGAACTTTTGTATCATTTTCGGCCCCCGGGATGAAAACCCGACTCGGGATGAAAAAAACCGTTCCGTGGTCGAGGGGTCGGGGGCTCGTGTACCCAAAAGTGCGGGACGCCAGATGTCTGGGTCTGGGCCCTTCTGAAGAGCCCCCCCCCACCCTCGCAGCCACTGGCCCACAAGTGCGCCGCAGAAGCAGCCCTCCAGACCTGGGGACGTATCTGGGCTCTCGAACGCCTCCGCGAGGAGGAGCAGGAGAAGGAGAAGGAGAAGGAGAAGGAGAAGGAGAAGGAGAAGGAGAAGGAGAAGGAGGGGGAGGCTGCGGAGGAGGAGGACAAGGACAAGGACATCCAAAGGGGGTGAAACGTCAGAGCGCCGACTCGGGCAATCTGCGCGGTATTGCCAACATCCCCTGCGATCTGTTGTGCAGCAGCCCTGCCTTCCCACCAAGGCTGGCAGGGGGGCATACCCCGTGAGAGAGGCCCGCTACCTTACATCACGAGTCCCGTCGGGCCAGTGCGGGGGCTGCAGCTGCTGGCCCTGCCGCGGGCCCTAAGGGAGGGGACGCGCGGGCTTAGCAGGGCGCCCAAGCCAGAGGGGAAGGAAACGACGACACGACCTCAACAGGAGGAGAGGGGGAGGGGGGGGAGAGACGGAAGCCTGGAGACCCCAAACTGTCGCTGGGGGGGGGGGGGGGGCAACTGCCTCTACAATCTTAATTCCGTGCTCCCCTCTCCCGCTCAGTTCACTTCTCGGTCGTTCCGACAGATGCGCCCATGTATTGTCACATCTGTATTCAGGTACCCCGTGAAGTAGCTCAATGGTCCCCCCTCGGAGTGTGTGAGGTAGAGCATGCTGGACGTCACGGTCATAGGTAGGGCCAACGAGTAGCACACTGGTTGGCTTTTTGATGATCACTTTTTTCCCCTTCAACACCCTGCAGTAGTGCACCTGATGGTACTCCAAAAAAACCGCCGAGCCTGTCGGCGTGTGTGAGGGGCTTGTCCACTCAAGACGTCATCTCCGTCATTCGTCGGTCGTCGTCTCAATCGTCCCCTTTCCCGTCTCCCCCTTTCCCTGGGCTCGTCGAAGCTCCCCCCTTTCCCAAGGACCTCCTCAGCGCGCCAGCCAAAGCGAAGTTGAGCAACGTCGTAATGAAGTCGAAGGGAAGCCCCTTCCCTTCGATCCCTCCCTGGGGGGTGGGGGGGGGGCCGGGGGGGGTCCGGGGGGGGGGGGGGGGTCCCGGGGGGGGGTCCCCAGGGAGGGGGGGGGCGGATACGACGCCCCCCCAGGGAGTCTCGGTGCCCAACAGAAACCCAAGACGGGCCAAGAGTGCCCCAAGAGGCCCCAAAGACAGTCCAAGAGAACCCCGAATCGCCGAACGATCTGTCCAAGACGCCTTGACGGCCTCCAGACGGCCCAAGAGGCCTGCAAAGCGCCCCGCCCTGAAGAAGGAACCCTTTTCGTTTGGGAGGGTTTTCCTGAGGTTGCCCTGAGGTTGAACGGGTTTTCCTGAGGTTTTCCTGAGGTTTTCCATGGGAAATCGAGGTTGAACTTATGGGAAAAAGGGGCCTCGTTCCTTGTTCAGGGTTCCTCAGGTCAACGCCCCGACTGTATGAGGGACTGCGGCGCTCAGCTCCCGCGGTTCTGCGCGCCCCCGGGCCTCTCCCACGCGAGGCTGCCGTCGGGGGGCTCTGGCGCCTCGCCGGTGACCTCGCGAGGGATATTGGCATATGTCCACACGGCCAGGCCCCAGCGGCCTATGGACTCCTCGGAGGCGCGGTCCCGCCCAGACTCGGGGATGGACAGACCTCCCTTTAGCAAAACGTGGTGTAGTGAAAACGACCTGGCCATCGCTCGGACGCCCATTCCCTGTTTTTTTTTCGGTTTCGTGCGTGGTTCTTTCGCCAAATGATCAAGGATGCTCCTCGATGGTCTCCGCCGAAGGAAAAATGCACACGTCCGAACGATGCCAAGCCTGAGGCCCAAACCTGGCGGGCGCAGGCCTGGAAAATGACGGCCAAGGCGCCCCCTCGAGAACCGAAAAAAGACAATGCACTAGTCGACGTGTCACTGTTGGGGGTTCTGTCAACCCCTGACAAGCATGATCGCGTCGAAAGGAAATCAGGACGGGAGGCTTTGGGCTATCTTCGGCTCCTGGGGGCCCTCGCCGGGCCTCGGGACCGTCAAAAAACGACCCAGGACGAAAAACCGGTCCCGGGGAAAGGGTCGGGACTTCCAGGGACGCCGTCCTGAAAAGGTCAGGACGTCGCATGTCTGGGCATGGACCCTGAGATCCGACGTTGCAAACGCACTCAACATCGCAGAACATCGCGACCCATCATTCTGCGCAACAGTTTTGAGCGGGCGATCCCACGGATACGTCCCGCACAAGGGAATCGCGCCAAGACGCCCCGTGTCCATGGGATCGCGGCCGACCATGGCATCCGATTTTTCAGCCCGGGATCGCGGCCGATCCTGACATCCGCCGATCGGAATTTTGTAGCCCGCGGCCCAAAAGCCCCGACCGCTTTCCCAGATGTGGTCTTTCATCCCGGGTCCGTTTCTGATTGCCCCGGGGCCCGATAGAACGGGCCCCATGAATTCGAGAGCAAGCCCAGACCTCCGACGCCGTGATTTTTTCACAACGTCGACCCCCAGAGGTCTGGACTCCTTCCCTGGGGCCTCTTTTTCCACCTTGTATTGCTTTTGTTGACGGCCCCGAGGCCCGGAAAAGGGCCCCGAGAGGCCGAAAACGACACAAAGCCTCCCGTCGCGACTCTGTCACAGTGCGGGGGGGTCTGGGGCCCGATGGAGCTCCGGCGCGCAGAGCGGGGTCTAGGGGGAGGGGGGAAGGCTCCTCCCCCTCCTCCTCCTCCTCCTCCTCCTCCTCCTCCTCCTCCTCCTCCCCCTCTCCTCCTCCCCTCCCCCTCCTCCTCCTCCTCCTCCTCCTCCTCCTCCTCCTCCTCCTCCTCCTCCTCCTCCTCCTCCTGCGCAGAGCGGGGTCTAGGGGGAGGGGGGAAGGCTTCTCAGAGGCAGGCTGCTTCTCAGAGGCGCTGGCCTCACGTCTACGGAGAACGGCCCGCGCCTTCTAAGAAGCAGGGGCCCATCTGAGAAGCCTCACAGTCGAGGCGTTGACCTAAGAAACCTTAACTAAGGAGCGAGGCCCCTTGTTTTTTCTCTCCACAAGTGGAACTTCGACTTCCCATCGAAAACTTAAGGAAAACCTTAGGCAAACTGTAGAACAATCGAGGAACACCGAGCCCCTCCCCAACGAAAAGGGCTCCTTCTTCAGGGCCCCGACGGTACCCCTCCCCCAAATTACCCCCCTCTGCGCGTGCCCGAACCTAACGGTCCCTACGAAGTCGAGATCCAGGGGAGGCCGCTGGCTGCAAACGGCACACACCGTCGTAGAGACCTCTGGGCATGGGGCCGCGGCAGATGACTACCTACCAGACCACCCCAACCCAACCCAAAGACCCGAATTTCGGGTTGGGGGGGCAAGGGTTCCACATGTGTTTTTTCGATGTTTCCCGACCCCCCCCCCACACTGGAAAGCGAGGGTAAATCTGAGCCTTCGGGTTGGGTTGGGGTGGTTTGGTGGGTGGTGAGCAGAGGGGTCCAGACTGCGAGCCCGTGGATGTGGACGTGTGGCGGGCTCCGGAGACCCGGAACCCCAAAGCGGTGTCATCTCCCCAGGACCCCCCCGAGTCGCGAAACAGATCTCGACCGTGCTGATTTTTACCTAACAGCTCTTGCTGATAGGTTTCTAGTGGTCTCAAAAGAGAGCATCATGACTCCTCAGGGGGGTCGGGGCGGGACCCGGACAGGCTGCCGCCGCGGCTGCCGCCGCACTCGCTTTTCGCAAACAATCACACACTTCGTGCTCTTCGACCTCCCAGAACTCCATTCCCGGGCCACATTCTGAATGCCCGGAGCCAACTGTATAGGCCACTTTGTGCTCTTCGACTTCCCAGAACTCCATTCCCGGGCCACATTTTGGATGCCCGGAGCCAACTGTAGGCCACTTCGTGCTCTTCGACTTCCCAAAACTCCATTCCCGGGCCACATTTTGGATGCCCGGAGCCAGCTGTAGGCCACTTCGTGCTCTTCGACTTCCCAGAACTCCACTCCCGGGCCGCATTTTGAATGCCCGGAGCCAACTGTAGGCCACTTCGTGTTCTTCTAGTTCCCAGAACCCCGCTCCTCGGCCACATTTTGAATGCTGAGGCAAGCTGATGCTGCGGCCGAGGCAAGCTGAGGCGGAGGCAGGCTGAGGCTGAGGCCGAGGCTGAGGCAGGCTGAGGCTGAAGCAGGCTGAGGCTGAGGCTGAGGCCGAGGCTGAGGCAGACTGAGGCTGAGGCTGAAGCAGACTGAGGCTGAGGCTGAGGCAGGCTGAGGCTGAGGCTGAGGCAGGCTGGCTGAGGCTGAGGCTGAGGCTGAGGCTGATGCAGGCTGAGGCTGAGGCAGGCTGAGGCTGAGGCTGAAGGCAGACTGAGGCTGAGGCTGAAGCAGGCTGAGGCTGAGGCTGAGGCTGAGGCTGAGGCAGGCTGAGGCTGAGGCTGAGGCTGAGACTGTTTGCGACTGTCATGTGAATCGACTTAGAGGGGAATGCTTTCAGATATGCTTCTACACATCGCTGTTAGGTTGCTTTGCCGGGATAATATAACATCTAAAACGACAGTCGGGCCGGGCGGAAGGGAGGGATAGCAAAGCGGGGGGGTGAGAATCAGCTCACGTGGCTGACTTTCCCGGCGCCTCCCGGCGCAGGGAGGCGCCCATGTATCGAGGAATGGGCCCCTCGGTGAGGCCGAAACCAGCTGCATGCAGCAAATTCTAAACGCTTCGCGTATCCCCACTGGCCCATCCAGAAACGATGTCCAGGCGAGTTGAGGTGACCAGGGAAGTGCGGCAGCAAAGAGGAGGACGGCCGAACCGTGCAATGGAGTGAGGAGGACAAGGAGGAGGTGGATGGATGGATGGATGAGGGCGTGGGAAGAAGGAGGGTGAATAGGATGAGGAGGAGGCGGAGGAGGAGGAGGAACAGGAGGAGGAGGAGGAGGAGGAGGAGGAGGAGGAAGAGAAGGAGTAGGAGCAGGAAGGAGGATCAGGAGGAGGAGGACGAGGAGGAGGAGGAGGAGGAGGAGGAGGAGGGCAAGCACCATGGCCAGAGGTCTCTTGGATGCCTCTCGGAACCTCTTGGGGTATCTCTTGGGCGATTATTGCTGGCCTCTTGGGACGTCTTGGGGGTCTCTTGGCGATCCTGGGGGGCTTTTCGGCGTCTTGGGTGCCTCGGGGGAAGCCTCTTGCGGCCGCTTTGGGTCTTCTTGGGGGCCTCCTGGGGGCCTTTTGGGGGCCTCTTGGGGCCATCTTGGGACCTCTTGGGGCCTTCTGGGCGCTTCTTGGGGCCATCTTGGAGGGGATCGGTCAACGAAGACCCCCAGGAAGCCAAAATGGGGCCCAAACCCAAATAAAATCAATGAGTTTGGCTTCCTCGCCGAGGCCGTTTTGGACGCTCTAACTACCCGCGGCCCCCCCCGTCCAGGTCCACGGGGAGGGGGTAGGAGGAGGGGTCAAGACCCCCTCCCCGCCCGCAAGCCGTCTCGCTGACTCCCACCCGCCCTCCCAACACATACGTAGCACCCGAGTCTGGCCCGAGCCTCAGCATAGTCAGCAATCGTCTTTGGATGAGCAGCTACTGGGGGCCAATCCGCCGCCGCCGCCGCCGCCGCCGCCGCCGCCGCCGCCGCCGCCGCCGCCTGCGTGCCGCCGCCGCCGCCGCCGCCGCCCGCCGCCGCCGCCACCGCCGCCGCCGCCGCCGCCGCCGCCGCCCCCCGCTGCCAAACCGCCGCCGCCGCCGCAGCCGCAGCTGCTGCCGCCACCGCCGCCGCCGCCGCCGCCGCCGCCGCCGCCGCCGCCCCCGCCCCCGCCGCAGCCGCCGCCGCCGCGGCCGCCGCAGCCGCCGCAGCCGCCGCCACCGCCGCCGCAGCCGCCGCCACCGCCGCCGCAGCCGCCGCAGACGCCGCCGCCGCAACCAAGTGTACTCTGTATGGTTTTTTGACAGGGATGGTGGGCGGGGGGGGGGCCGCATCGGGTTGGCTGCGCATGTTCCGAATTTGAAGGCAGAGTGTGTTTTATAGTGTTTTTTTACAAGGGATGGTGGGTGGGGGGGTGGCATGGACCCTGGTTGGCCCCCAGTCGCCTGGGGGAGGGGGTGTTTATTAATAGGGAACAATGATAAACCCCTCCCCGAAGGGGAAGAGGGAGGGGTGGAAGAAGAAACGCCCTAAAGCACCGACGCCCAGAGGGCTGGTGGGATTTCGTAGCCCCCCCTGTCCCTGTCCCCCCCTGTCGTTCGGCCCGAGACAGTGTTCTGCCTCCGGCGGCCCTCACGCCGGACCTCGGGACCGTCCAAAAACGACTCAGGATGGAACAACGGCCCCGGGGAAGGGGTCCAGGCCTCTGCAGGGTCGACGCTGTGAACAAACCACGATGCAAGAAGGCAGAACCTCTGAGCCCCAAGATGCCGCGGAGGCGCGCCGGTGCCCCCTGATGGCCCTCCGCTGGCAGGGCCGCCCTCGGCTTGCTCCCGCCAGCTCCCGCCCCAAACAGCAATCTTGAGCACCGAAGTGCTCCAAACACCAACTTTAGCAGCGCGAGCCGGGCGCAGAAGCATTTTGAGGACCGAAACGCCGCAAACGGCAAACTTGAGCACCGCAGCGCTGCAAGCAGGAGCCGGGGCCGAATTTTCCACGAGGAAGAGGTGTGCCAGCTGCTCGACCCCTCCGCGGCGGGGCCCTCCTCGTGTTGGGGGCGCCCAGGCGTGGGCCCGAGCTGCGCGGGCCCGGAGAGGGCCTCGGTCCAGAGGGGGAGGGAGGCAGACGAACCCACGCAGGATCGGTCCCCGGACCCCTCGAGACCCTGGGGCAAGACGAGGCCAGGGCGAGGACAAAACAACGGGTGAGGATGCATCGAGCATCTCATCCGGCAGATCTGGGGGATGTATCGGGCGCCGCGCGGCCAATTGTCGGAGCGTTCCGGAACACTCTCCTCAGAAACCCAGCCGGCTCCACCTTTCTGGAACGCCTCATGCCCTCCACCTCCACCTTCCATGCCTTCCGATGCCCGCGGAAGGTGCGGAAGAACTTACCGAAAGTCATGGAAGTTTGGACGCAATTCCAAGAAGCCCACCTAGATCAGATCGGAAGAGGAGGGCGGAAGGCCCAGAAGAATGATGGGGGAGGGAAGCGCAACCGACTCTCTGCCACACATTTCCCATGACCCGAGGCGGTCTGGGCACGCGGGCAGCATAGAACACTGTCGCGGTCGTCCGAGATCTCGGAGGAGGCGCGAGCCCCGTGCCTCTCGACCACGTCCCCCCGCGACCGGTTGTTTTAGCCCCGAGTCGTTTTTGTTGTTGACGCGGGGCCCCGAGGGCCGAAGACGACAGCCCCTCCGTCTCGACCTCTTCGGGACGCCGACTTCTTCGAGACGCCGGGCGCCTATGTATGACCGCTACGCAGGCATGAAGGGGAGGAGGAGGAGGAGGAGGAGGAGGGGAGGAGGAGGAGGAGGAGGAGGAGGAGGGGGGAGGAGGGAGGAGGAGGAGGAGGAGGAGGAGTAGGAGGAGCGGAGGGAGTAGGAGGGCGGAGGAGGGCGGAGGAGGGAGGAGGGAGGAGGGCGGAGGGTGTCTCCCGCCGCCGATGGACCACGGCGTCGTCGGAGGCCGCGCCGTCCGCGCCGCCCTCCTCCTCGGCCGCTGGACCGTCGCCAGCCTTGGGGGGCTGCCCGGGGGGGGGGGGGGGGCGATCCTGGCCCGCCCCGCCCTGGACTCGGGCAGCAAAGAGGGCGTCCTGCCGTCGTGGTGGGCGTGTTTCGGCCTTCGGGGGCCCTTGCCAGGCCTCGGGGCAGTCAAACACCGACGCAGGACGCAAGACCGGTCCCGGGGAAAGGGTCGGGACTTCCAGGGACGCCGTCCTGAAAGAAATCATGACGTCGCATGTCTGGGCTCAGGATTCGGCTACTCGGCGGCCGTGCCAGACGATCCGAGCGCCCCGACGTATTGAAACAAGACCGTCTCGGCCAAAAATGTTCCAAGAACATGTCGCGCAGACCAGAAAGGTTATCATAACATTATTTGGTGAGCCTATGAGCGAGCCAAGTCGCTTCGCAACTGCTTGACTTTCACACTCTGAGCATATCCCCCAATGGCAATGCCCCTGAGTCTGGCAGCGCCCGAGGGCCTCTGCCCAGGCAAGAAGACCCCAACCCAAAGCGGAAAATCGAACCGGCCATCTAAACACATCGAAGCTGCAGAAATCCGCAAGCAGACCCTCCTCCCTGGCGCGCGGAGCGCGCCAGGGGCGGCGCCGGAGGCGCCGCCGGGGGGCCCCAGCGCGGATCCGAGAAATCCGCGCGGACCTCCGAGTTTTTATGTTGATGCCACTTGTTGTTCCCCTAGCTCCTGCAGGCTGCAAGAGGCTCTTAACAAACACTCCGTGGCGGACCTCTCAGAGCAGGTCGAGTCGAGCCCTGGGCGTGTGGGCACGGAGCTCCACGCGGATAGGGAAGACGTACGCCCGGCGCGACACGCTCGCCACGACTGCGGGACGGGAAAAAATGACCACAGCCACTGCTTCTTCGTTTGCGCCGCCGTCCAGCCGGCCGAAGAAGAAGAAGCCGTGGTTGTGGTCATCTCCTTGGTGCCAGGCCTAACGAAAATGACCACAACCACTGCTTTGTTTCTGCTGGCTGGAAGGCGGCGACAAGAGAAGAGCAGAGGCCGTGGTCGTTTTTTCCCGTCCCGCAACAGCGTGGCCCAGCACGTGCCGAGCCAACACGTGCGCAGCGTGCGAGCACTCCCGCTTTGGAGCACGGCACGCGTTCCGTGTTTCCCAGAGGTGCACAACGTCCAATTTTTGTTCCAGGACGGCGTCCCCGAAGTCCCGACCCGTTCCCCGGGACCGGCTCTCTGCCCCAAGTCGTTTTTGTTGACGGCCCCGAGGCCCGGCGAGGGCCCCCCCCCCGGGGCCGAAAATGGCCCAAAACCTCCCGTCCAGATTACTTTCACGACGCGATGCCATGCCTGCGGGTTCAGAACGACCGTATCAGGGCAGCTAGGTTCTTTGGAACCCCTTCGGGGATGGACAGAGCCCCCTTTAGTAAAGCGTGGTTTAATGAAAACGGCCTCGGGCCCAAACCTGGCGGGCGCCAGGTTGGAAAATGACAGCCCCGGCGCCCTCTCGAGAACCGAACACGGCCAGTTCACTAATCAACGTGTCACAGTGGAGGTTCTGTCCACCCCCGAGCCCCATACCAGGGCAGCTAGGTTTAGGTCGGGCATGTCCCCCTCCAGGCGGATTTGGGGCGACGGAATCCAATAAATGTTCAAACGTAGTCAAGAATAGAACCGAAAAGTCGTCCCCAGACTATTTCTGCACCATCCCTGACCCTATACTCCTGCTGTGGGGGCACCCGCCCCACTGAAAGCCAGGTCCTTTTGGAAGCCCTACCCAGACATGCGAAGTCATGATTTTGTTCAGGACGGCGTCCCTGGAAGTCCCGACCCTTTCCCCGGGACTGGTTTTTCGTCGACAGTCTCGAGGCCTGGCATGGGCCCCCGAAGGCCGAAAAGGGCAAAAAACCTCCCGCCCTGATTTTTTTTACGACGCGATCATGCCTGGGTACATGTGAGCAGATCAAGACGCTTTGTCGCTGCCTCTGCCCCCGCGCCCGCGCCGGCGGCCCCCGCGTCGCCCGCGCCCCCGGCGCCCGCGCCGGCGGCCTCGCCGTCGCCCGGCTCTCCGCCCGCCGGCGGCGCGCCGCCAGGCTCGCCGGCGGCCGCCTGGCGGGCTCGAGGCGGGGCGCCGCGAGCCCCTTGAGAGGGGGCGGAAAAGCCCTCAAGACCCCTCGCGCTGTGAGAACATATCGCGGCGGGCGGTTTTGTCGGGGGCTGTCTTTTGGCTCTCTGGGGGGCCCTCGCCGGGCCCCGCGGGGCCCTATAGTAAAGCACAGCACAGAAAATTCCCACCAAATTTGGCTCCCTGTTTGGCATGCTGCACAGCAACATTTTTTTTTGGTCTGAAGCAAGCAAAACCCTTGGCTCAAGTTCGAAAATTCTCTGCGTCGTGAAACGTGAAAGAGAACAGCACTTGTTCGCCAAAATTTTGACGTCAAAGGGGTCGGGACTTCCCCGGGGCGGCGCCGTCCTGGAAAGATCAGGGCGCCGCACGCCTCGGGAGGCGGAGGGCGCCTCGGGCCCGAGGTGGCGGGCTTAGGCGCGGCACTTCTGCGGGGGGCCCGGAACTTTTGTTCGCGGCGCGTCGTCGCGGCGGCCCCGCGCGACGCGCGAGGTGCCTTGCAGAGAGATCGCCCGTCGCTCCGCTCCGCGGGGCCTCGGGGGCTCGGAGAGGCTCGGAGCGCGGGGACGCTGGGGGGCCGGGAACTGGATGGCGGGTCGCGCCGAAGCGTCGTGGTGGCCCAGGGCCGTCGGAGCGACACGCCAAGCCCAAGCTCCCGACCGTGTAGTTTCCGCGTCGAGGGTCAGAGGCGCCGGGCGTCCCGAAGAGGTTGGCGTCTCGAGGACATCGAGACAGAGGCTGTCGTTTTCGGGCCCCCTCAGGGCCCAGCGTCAACCAAACGGCTCGGGGCTAAAAACCGGTCGCGGGGGAAGTGGTCGAGAAGCACGGGGCTCGCGCCTCCTCCCGAGATCTCGGACGACCGCGAGATTGTTCTCCTTTCCGCGTGCCCAGACCACCTCGGGTCATGAGAAATTTAGGGCAAAGAATCGTTTGCTATTCCCTCCCCCTCATTCTTCCGGGCCTTCCGCCTTACCGGCTCGCCCATGCTTCGATATGATCTATGCTGGTTCCCTTGAATTGCGTAAAGCGCCCATGAGTTTCGAGGAGTCTTTTCGCACCTTCCGCGGAGATCGGAAGATTTGGAAGTGGACTCCCGTGTGCACTCTGGCCGGGATTTCGAAGCGAATCCAGCGGTGGCCACGAGAGCCTCCCAGGAGGCCCCCGTAAAGGGAAAACGGGCGGAGGGTAGGCCGGGGGCACCTTTTCCTCCTTTGCTTCTCGCGGCGTGGAAGCTCGCGGTGGGCGTTTCCTCACTCGCGGCCTCTCAGGCCCCCCGCTGGCCCGCACAGGCTGTCAGGGAACGACTCGGGGCGGAAGGGATGCTCCCGGAGGAGGGGGCCGGATTCCTGCAGGGGCACGCGCTGCGAAGCAGCTGCCCCACACACCTCCGTTCTCCCCCCAAGGACTTGGCGACTTTTCACAAATCCACTCGTGGGGATCAAGAGCTGGACAAATCAAGGCAAACGTACACAAATCGAGGCAAATCCAGGTCACTCGTGGGGATCAAGGGCTGGACAAATCAAGGCAAACGTACATAAATTTAGGGAAATCCAGGTCACTCCAGAGAGCTCCAGGGCAGGCTGGAGCAAATCGTGGCCGCTCCAGCGCGAGGCGAGGAGCGGCGGGAGTCGTCACGTCAAGCCTCTGACGACCTTCGTCGTTCTTCCATGGCGAGGGGGTGCCACGGGCTCTGCCTGCCTCCCTCCTCGTGGGCCCACGAGGTCTGCAGTTAACCCATATGATAAGGGCGCACGATCATGCTTGGCGTCGCGCACAAGGGGGTAGGGGCAGAGGGGAGAGCTTCTTGGAAGGAGGCTGCTTCTTAGAGGGCGCCGGTCTTACATCTACAGAGAAGGCCCGCGCCTTCTAAGAAGCAGGGGTGCTTCTCAGAAGCCCTCCCCCCTCCCCCCACCTCCCTCTGCGCGTGGCCGACATGCAAGGGGCTTGGAAGGCCAGGTAGACACGTTGCGAGCGGGGCGCAGCCAGTCAAAGCGGCCAAGGATGGGCCGAAGGGGAAGGATGCAAGGGTAACCTTGGAAAGCTGCTCATCCTTACTATGCGGGTTGACTGTGTAGACCACTTCCCCGGGGCCAGGTTGGCATCCCGAGCTGTCTTTTGACGGTCCCACGGGCCCCCGAAAACGAAGCCGTGCGGACCTCCGAGATCATGTTTATGCCGCTGTTTGTTGATCTTCGGCGCCTGCAAGATGTGCATCTCCAGCTGGTTCCGGAGCAGCTTCTCGACCGCCTTCAGCAACCACATGTCGAATCCTACCCCTGCACGTTAGAGGTCTGAAACACCAGCGGGGGTTCAGAATTTGGAGGATGTACAATAGGAGCTCGACCGCAAGAAACCCTCCACAAGAAACTCAATCCTGAGACCCCAGGGCGTCCATCGAATTTCCATAGCAAAACGATCGAAACCCAAGAAACCCGGGCACCCTGGAGGCAAGCAGGGTGCTTCTTGGCATGGGCTTCCACTGTACGCAACCGTGAGCCCCAGCGGGCGTGTCCGATACCCCAGCCGCGATCCGCAAGGATCCCCCGCATTGTGCACTAAGCCCCCTCCCCATGCCCCACCCTGCCCGACGGTCCGTCCCGCCCCACCCCCCCACGCACACCAAACTCGCCCCTGAAGTAGAAAATTACAGAACTGTGAAAGCATATAGCCAGCCGCCCCTGCAAACGAGTGTTCGTAAACGGGGTAGTCGCTAAGGGGCCTCTACGAGCGAGTGCAGGCTGAAAGGGCATTTATCTCGCACTAGTGCGTGATAAGTCGGGACGACCAAATCGTCGATAGATCATCATAAATCTGGGGGGGGGGATTGCCTCGCGCTTGTGCGCGGCACGTCAATTTGTCGAAGGCATACTTTAAAACGCACCCTTAACTACCACCCCGTTTGCATACACACCCCGACTGCAGGGGCTTAAGAAGTAGCGGAAGTGTGAGCAAAAGGCTCCTCAGGGCCAGCTTCCCAGAAGCCTCTAAAGACAAGCCTGGGCCAGGTTCTGTTGTCAGCGCTGGACTGGCCATCGCTCGGACGTCCATTCCCTGTGCATTTTTCGGTGCGTGGTTTTTGCGCCAGATGGTCGAGGATTGTCCTCCATGGTTCTCGCCGAGAAGAAATGCACACGTCCGAGCGATGCCAAGTGGAGGGCGAACGTGCTCGTGAGACTGCAGTCTCATGAGCACGTCCGCCCTCCCGCTTCCTGGCAGCTTTCTGGCAGCCTGGCCAAGAAACGCTGGCCCAGCTCTTCGACAATAAATTTGTCAATCGTATGTTCGGCCACATACATTCGGCGGTCCGCGCGGATTCCGCCGGAGCCCTCTCCCTGGCACACGGAGCGCGCAGGGGGCGGCGCTGGAGGCGCCGCGAGGAGAGGGGCCCAGCGCAGTTCCGAGCAGTGCGCGCGGACCGTCGACATTCCATGTGTTTCTGCGCTGATTTTGGGTCGGACCTGTCCTCCTACAGGCGGATTTTGGAGGAGAGTAAACAGATGCAGAACTTGCAGGAAAATAGGCAATATAGAGCACGAGAAACCCTGCCCTGACAATGTGCGCGCTATTCTTGGATCTTCCTCCTGTAGAGGGACACGCCCGACTCAAGTCCACAGTTCACGTTTTTCTGCGCCGTTTCCTTCGACGAGCGCGATCCAAACCCCCACAAACCGTAGAAGGTTCACGCTCCTGCGCTGTTTTTCCTCCGACGAGCGCGATCTAAAAAAAACACGCGAACGCGAAGGGCGAAGGCTCGTTCCCGAGGAGACGAAACGGCGCGCGTTGCTCTGCCCGGGACTTGCCCCTCCTACGCAATGACCACCACCACCACCACCACCACCACCACCACCACCACCACCACCACCACCACCACCACCACCACCACCACCACCACCACCACCACCACCACCACCCCACCACCACCACCACCACCACCACCACCACCACCACCACCACACCACCACCCACCCACCCACCACCACCACCACCACCACCACCACCACCACCCCCCACCCACCCACCACCACCACCACCACCACCGCCACCCACCTCCGCCACCAACCACTCTGGCTTTGCTCACCTTGGGGGAACCAAAAGGTACTCCGAGCTTCCTCACAAGCGTCGGGGGGGCGTCAACCCCGTCGCGGGCCGACCCCCGTCGCGACGCGACGACGAGGCGAGGTTGACCCCCGTCGGGGGGGTACCTCCCCCCCACGCTTGTTTAAGAAACCCAAAGTACCAAAACAGCTACTCCGCGGACCTCTCCTGGGGTGTTCTCTGGCCAAGGTTTCGAGGAGAATCCAGCGGTGGCGACGAGGGCTCCCAGGAGGCTCAAAAAAGGGGTAAACGGGGCAAGGGTAAAGGTATCGGCACTTTTCCCTCATCTGACCCCCCCCCCCCGACGGCTGATCAACCAACTCGGAGCAGGACTCGCAAGCGGTCGCAAGCGCCTTGCGTCGCTGCCGCTCCGCGGACTCGCGCTGCTGCATGCGCAGCCGCAGGGTCTGCAGCTTCAGCGGAGGCGGGGCGCCGTCGAAGACGAAGACGGGCCTGACTTCGGCGGCGAGCCCAGGGGGGAAGTGAGGAGGGGCGGGCCTTCTCAGAAGGCTCGGAAGTACCTCGGCCTTCTGAGAAGTTTCCTGCTCCCTCCCCGCAGGCACAGAAGACTTCTCAGAAGGCGCGAGGGCTTCTGAGGAGTCCCGCAGCCTTCTGAGAAGACCTTCACCTTCTCACTTCCCCCCCCCCTTCGCTCGCCGCCGACTGCCTGGGGATCCCAAAGCGGTGGAGCGCTTGTCTTATTCGCGGCCATGACACGTTACGGGGGTGAGGTGGGGTGTGGGGGGGACGGGAGGAGGCACAACGTAGCGCCCCTCGCCACACCGTGGTGCTGGACGCACTGCGGCAGTGCCGGGGACGCACTGCGGGGGAGCGCGTTACGCTATGGGGGGCGAAGCGAAGCGGACGCCAAATCCGCGCGCGCGCGCCGCGTGGGCGCCCGCGCGCGCTCGTTAGGGCGTGGCGGTGGAGGCCGTAGCCTCAATATGGAAGAGCCGTAGCCCCTCATGTGTCGTACATAGGCCACCTTGGCCTTCTTGTACTCCTCCAGCGCATCCTCGTGCTTCTCTTGACAGGGTGTTACGTCATGGGGGGGAGTGTAACGTTCTGGGGGGGAGGGGAGGGGGAGGGCAGGGGGCATACCGCGCGTTATGGCCCAGAGGTTAAACAAAAACACTCTCGTGCGGCGACCTCGGAATCCGCAGAGACCTCACCGATGCATCGGGACCTCGGAGGCTCCTATGGCCCGAGCCGTCCGGGGAGAACGGCCCGAGTCCCCAAAACCGCGCGGTCACCGCGGATCCCCAATGCCTCACAACACGGTGCGGTCACCAAACCGTTTGGGGGCCCTGGACCTGATCTTCAAGTACAGGAGCTTGCAGATGCGCCGGAAGAAGCCCAGCACGTGCGCTCCCTCGTCGGCTATGCAGACGCAGGAGTGCCCGTGGGCAAGCGTGCCTCTTTGGTGCGCGGCCTGCCGGCGGTTGCACGCGATGCGACAGCGGCGGCCTGCGCGATTGGTTTGGCCCCCGCGCCCAGAGAAGGCCGCGCAGCAAAAGGCCACTTCTGCGAAGGGTCACTACTACGTGTAGCCGACCTTGACCATGGCGCCCCTCTCGTCTCGCATGGCCATCAGGAACTGGTACATCCAAATACTCGCGTCCACGGCAACGACCTTTCCGGATGTTTTCTCTCTGCGCCCGGAGCCAACCGGTGCGAGGATAGAGGCCTCTCAGATGGGGGCGGAGTAGATGGGGTCGGAGGATCGCGCCGCATCGCCGATACATCGGCGATGCATCAGCGATGCATCTGTGATGCACGGGCGATGCATCGTCGACGTCGGCGATGCATCGGCGACGTCGACGTGAAGCAAATCGGGCCCCACATCGAGCCGTATCGGCGATGCGGCGCGATCCTCCGACCCCATCTACTCCGACCCCATCCAGGATCTAGAAGGTCTAGAGAAGAAGATCCACGTGGCCGGCTTCAGGACCTCGTAGATCCAGAAATGTTGACGCCTCACTTGGCACACACTTCCGACGCCTCACGCCAGCGGGCCAGGACATCCAACGATATGATTACGTCGGGCAAGTCTTCCTAGAGGCTGATTTTGGACGAACAATAAAACAACTGTCCAACCATAGTTTTAAATATAATCCAACCTGGGAGAAAATCGTCCCCATACTATGTTTTGACTATTTTTGAATACTCCTCCTGAAGAGGGACACGCCCGACTTAACGATATGGCTCACTGCGCGGCCCCGAGAGGTTGCCGAGCCCCTCTCCTGGACCGATCTGTGGTGCTCCCGGGGCTCGAGGACGGCCCCCGGGAGCCGAAACCGAAGGAGAACGCAACGATCGACAACATCCGCCGACCCTGTCGGCGTGAGCGAGGGGCATCTCCGTGCGTGTCGTTCTTCTTTGTCGCCCCCTTTCTTTGTACTCTGCCCCATCAAGCCTGTCAGCTCGAAAAACACCTGCCTGCCCATGTCGTGCTGGCCCCGAAGGGAAGCCCCTTTCCTTCGATCCCCTCTCTCCGTCGCCCCCTCTCCCTGCACCCTGCCCCCTCTCCGTCCCCTTTCCTTCTCCGTCGCCCCCTCTCCCTGCACCCTGCCCCCTCAAGCCTGTCGGCTCGAAAAACACCTTCCTGCCCACGTCGTGCCAGGCCCCGCAGGGAAGCCCCTATCCTTTGATCCCCTCCCCGTCGGGGGAGGGCGGGCCCGGGGGGGTCCCGGGGGGGGGGGACCCTCACATCCGAAGCTGCAGGAAAATGGCAACACCGCCAAAAATCACGACCGGAGCCCTAGGCCCTAGACCCCATCTTTCCAGCCGGATCAATCTGTGAGGGCCCCAGGGCCCGAAAACGCCCGTGGCGAAAAAAATGCCACGCCAAGATCTGAGTGACCGTGGGAATTGGAGAAGGCCTTCTCAGAAGGCGGCGGGACTTCTCAGAGACCCACGCGCCTTCTGAGAAGTTTTCCGTGTCTTCGGTTCGGTCGGGCATATCTTTCTACAGGCTGAGCAGTGTTAAAAAGTAGCCCAAGCAGCGCAGAAAACATCAAAACTAGTTGACACATCCTCCCCAGACTATTTTTTGTGTTGCTCACACTTGTCTGTGCGGTGTCGCAAAGCATGGCGGGGGTGCCCACCGCAGACACGCGCGCACATCGTGTCGCGCGCCGCGCCGCGCGCGCCCGCCGCGCACGCGCGGGCGACTCGGCCAGGCGCGGCGCACGGGGGTGCGCTCCAGCCTGCCGCAGCGGCGCTGCGCAGGCGACGCTCCGCCCGCGCATGGCGCGGGCGGGGGTGGGCGCCGCATCTCTTGGGCGCCCGAGTTATCCGGGGTAACTCGGGTCCGGGGTAACTCGGGTTTGGATTCCCGAAGAAGGAGCCCGAGTTAGCCCTGACCCGAGTTACCCCTGATGATGTGGGGCTCTGGACGCCCGACTTATTCGGGGTAACTCGGGTCCGGGGTAACTCGGGTCAGGATTCCCGAAAAACGAACCCGAGTTAGCCCTGACCCGAGTTGCCCCTGATGATTCGTGGCTCTGAATCTCTTCTCCCCCGTGGCCTGGCCCACCCGTTGGCTCCTGCGGCGACCGGCCTCCGTGCCTCTGTCGTCGGCCGCCGCCTGGCGTCTCGCACGCCCTCGCGGCGGCGGCGGGGCGGTGCGCGGACGGCCCACGCGCAGCCCCGCCCGCGCGCCGTCGGCGCGGCGCCGCACCCACATGTGTCGGGCGTGGTGTCGCCACGCCGTGGCCTTTGGTCATCAGGGCCGCGCTGCGTGCACTGTTTCTGGATCGTGTACTCCTGCAGAGGGCCGTGCCCGACGTGAGTCTTCGGGGAAGGCATCAGGAACACTTCTCAGAAGGCCGGGGGACTCCCGAGCCTTCTGAGGAGGCCCGCCCCTTCCCACTTCCCCCCCGGGCTCGCCGCCGACTGAGGGCAGGGGCGGGGGGGGGGCTGATACGCATTCCCCCCGGGGGGCTCGGCGCTCAGATCGTCTGTGAGCGCCAGGGGGGTAGGGGCATGCCGTCCTACAGGCGAATTTTGGAGGACAAATATAAACAGTATTAAACAGTCCCCCAAAAATCACCACACTACATTTGGACTATCTTGAAGTCGGGCGTGTCCCCCTACAGGGGGATTTTCGACGAATAAAAAATACCGCCAAACAAATAAAAAAAGGCTAAAAATAGTCTGGGGACTATTTTTTGAATATTGTTTGATCTTCTTGGGTATTTTTGGACTGTCTTTGAAAAAAGGGCATGCCCGACCTAACACTCAGGGGGCCCGCCGCCGCGGTGCGCCCGCCGCCTGCCGCCGGCGGGCGGGGCGGGGCGCGATGAAAGCGGCGGGGGGGGGGGCCTTCTGGAGCCGCGCCGCCCAGGCACTGCGCCGCCGAGTCTTCTCGGGTCGGGCGAAAGGGGGGGATAGCAAAGGGGGGGGGCTCAGAATCAGCTCTCGTAGCTGATTTTCCCGGCGCCTCCCGGCGCCGGGAGGCGGCCACGTATCGAGGCATGGACCCCTCGGCGGGGCCGAAACCAGCTGCATGCAGCAAATTTCGTACCCCCCCCCTTTCCCAATCCCCCCCGTTCGTCTGGCCCGATCTTCTTGCCCGGAACCCACCGAAGGTGGGGTGACCCTGAGGGAGGGCCATGGCCCAGACCCCCTCGCGGCGCGGAAAAGCTACGACGGGAGGTCTTGTTCGCCACCTTGGCGGCCTCTGGGGGCCCTCGCCGGGCCTCGGGACCGTCAAAAAGCGGCTCTGGATGAAAAAGCGGTCCCTGGGAAAGGGTCCAGACCCAGACATGCGACGTCCTGATTCTTTCAAGACGGCGTCTCTGGAAGTCCCGACCCTTTCCCTGGGACCTGTTTTTCGTCCTGAGTCGTTTCTTGACGGTCCTGGGGCCCAGCGAGGGCCCCCTGGGGCCAAAAATGGCCCAAAAACCTCCCGCCCTGATTTTTTTTACGACGCGATCATGTCTGGGGTCCAGACCTCTGGGGGTCGACGTCGTGAACAAAATCACGACGTCGGGGGTCTGGGGAGTTGGATCCGCTGGTGCACCGACCTGCCACGAGCAGATGCCCTCAGCATGCCCCACCGATCGGCAGCCATCGGGAGCTGCCCGCGTCTGGGGGGCATCTGCTTTTCGGGCGGTGCGGTGCAAAAACCGATCGAACTCAAAAGCACACACACACATAAACACTCACCACACACACCACACACATCACACACACACACACACACACACACACCACACACACACACCACACACGCACACACCACACACCACACACACACACACACACACACATACACCACACACACAGACCACCCACACACACCACACACACAGACCAGGGCACCACACTCCCCCTTTGCGGGATCCCGCTGTTTATCGGCGGCGAGCGAGGGGGGGGAAGTGAGAAGGAGAAGGCCTTCTCACAAGGAGGCGAAACTTGACGGTTATCAGGTTGGGAGTATCGGGTTGGGAAGGCACGGGGCATCCTCTCCCCCAGCCCCATCCTCGCAACCCGACGGTTGTCTTTCTGAAGTTCACGGAGGACTTGGGAGACTTGTCAGAAGGCCGGGGGGCGTCCGAGCCTTCTGAGAAGGCCCGCCCCTTCTCGCTTCCCCCCCAGGCTCGCCGCCGACAGAGTGGGAGATAGAGAGACAGAGACCGCAGCAGACACACGCGATCCGAAATGTTGCTGTAGGAGCTCTTAGAGCACACTCTGAGTGGACCTCTGAGGCTCCCAGAGTGCCCCCGATCTTCTGTGGGTCCCTGGGGCCATCGGGGCCATCGGGCCACGTGCTTGCCGTCAGGGATAAGATATGGAGGCGAGCAAGCGACGGCAGACGCGCAAATCGCCGCGATCACGTAGAAGGGAAGGAAGAGGGAATCCATCCTCGCCGTGACATGTTCTGCGGATCGCCGTGACATGCCGCAGCGTCGTAGCGCAGCGTCGTAGCGTGGCGTCGCAGCGTGGCGTCGCAGCGTAGCGTCGCAGCGTGGCGTCGCAGCGTAGCGTCGCAGCGCAGCGTCGCAGCGTTCTCTGCGGCGCAGGCCGTTGCTCTCCAGGGGCGCCGGGGTTCGCCCGCTGCTGCCCCGGCGGGCCCACATATCGAGGCCCACATCGTTCACGCGCTGCCCTGGTCAAATAGGAAGGGGCCCCAGGACACACAAATAAATACACACAAATAAAAAGATTCCCCATCTTTTCCTATATTTTCTGGGTTTCTGTCTTCCCCCCCACTTCCCATATTTTCCCATATTTTCTGGGGTATCGAGGATTAATTGTGTCTGTGTGTTTCTTTTCCTCCTGAAAATATTGATTGTTGCCCGAGTCGACTTAGGTAACCATCGAAACGGATCTTGGTTCGCCGTGTGCGGCCTCTGGGCGCCGGTTTCCGGCCCCAGGGCCGCAGAAACGACTCAGGAGGAAGGGCCGACCATACAGGGGACCCCGTGCTGAAGAAATCAAGATTGCGGGGCGGGAAAAAGACCACAGCCACTGCTCCTTGTTTGCGCCGCCTTCCGGCCGGCCGAAAAAGAAGAAGCAGTGGCTGTGGTCCTTTCCCTGGTGCCAAAGCTCAACGAAAATGACCACAGCCGCTGCTCTGTTTCTGCGGGCTGGAAGGCGGCGGCAAAAGAAAAGCAGTGGCTGTGG